GTACTAGGTACTTTGCTTATTACTGGGACAAACTGTCTGATAAAAAGCAACTTGGTGATGGGAGGGTTTATTTCTGGTCACATTTGGATGGTACAGTCCATCTGATAGGGAAGGCACCATGGCGGGAGTTGTGAAGCAGCTGGTCACATTGCATCCACAATCGGGAGGGAGGGAGAGAGGGGAAGGGGACTGCTGGTACTCAGCTCACTTTCTCTCTTTCAGTCTGGGACACCAACCCATGGAATTATGCCACCAACAGTGTACAGTTATTCACACTTCAATTAAGTTGATCTAGAAACATCAAGACAAACCATGATTATATATATATATATATATATATATATATATATATATATATATATATATATATATAGAGAGAGAGAGAGAGAGAGAGAGTCTAGATGGTTCTAGAGACTGTCATGTTGACAATATTAACCATCAAGGAAGAGAACTACCCTGTTTGGTGTTATCACCACCCTCAGAAAATGTTCAAAATTATGTGAGAATGATATGATGTGGGAGATGAACCCATGGGAAGGAGTAGTCCAGAGAAAGAGAGGTTCAATGGGCAACCGTCTATCCACAACTCCAGCCATGAGCCCTGTCACTATCTCACATGATCTTCTGTCCTATGGACTATTCTGTCACCAAGTATAAAAATGTCACTACCAAGACTGGAAAGAGATAACACTTCTCCCACTGTCCTAGCTAGCTTTGACTCTCAACTTGTCACAGTTTGGAGTCATTTGATTAGAGAGTCTCAACAGAAGAATGGCCTAGAGGGCTCAGCCCACTGTGGGTGACACCATTCCCTGGGCAGTGGTCCTGAGCGCTCTCTCTCTCTCTCTCTCTCTCTCTCTCTCTCTCTCTCTCTCTCTCTCTCTCTCTCTCTCTCTCTCTCTCTCTCTTCCCCTCTCTCCCTGAGAGTGAGACAGCAGCATTCCTTCATGGCTGCTACTTCAAGTCCCTGCCCTGACTTCCTTCAGTGACGGACTGTAACCTGGAGATGTCTACAAATTAACTCTTTCCTCCCCTAAGTTGCTTTAGATCAGAGTGTTTGATCACAGTAACAAAAAGAAAACTAGAACACCCACTTTTGGCGCTGGGGTCTGGACCAGCTGTCTTGAAACACTTTGGGAGAGCCTGCCTGTGCATCCTGCCATTTCCAGAGGCTGGAGTCAAGCTGCATGAAGCTCTGGCGTTTGTTGGTGCTCTCTGCCATGACCGAGTTTTTTTTTTTTTCAGTGTATGTGGGACTGGGCATGGAAACTTGTGCTGATGGGAAAGGACTAAAAATGCAGACGAAGAATTTGGATATGATTGAAAACTTGTTTTTATTCTATCCAGGAAAGGAAAGGAGAGGCTGGAGGGGAGGGCAGATTAATAAGGTATGTAAGAGAACACCGGCTTCCTGTTCTCTCAAAGTCTTTAACGATGTTCGTGGATCCACAAAAGGGAGGGCTGGTAGGAGCTGCGGGGGCCTCATAGCCAACCCAGCTCATTTTACACAGGAGCAAATTGAGACCTCTGGTTTTGGCTGCCGACATAATTAGCTACTAAGCCTGGCCAGGAGCCTGGAGTCATTGCTCACAGGCTGGTCTCTCTCTCTCTGCTGGATCCACATGTGTTTGCAGAAAGCATTCCACATGATGAGCTAGTATTAATAACCAATTAAAAATTACTAGTAATACATGGTACTTATTTTTTTAAGATTTATTTTCAATGTCATATATGCCTGTATGTCTATGGGTAAATATGTGCACACAAGTACAGGTGCCCCTGGAGGCCAGCGGAAGATGTTGGATGTCCTGGAGCTAGAGTTATAAGTGGTTGTTAGTCATCCAACCTCAGTGCTGGGAGTTGAACTTGGGTCCTCTGCAAGAGCAGTAAGCACTCTTAACTGCGGAACCATCTTTCCAGCCCCATAATTCTCTTTCATTATTTTTAATTTAATCCTATTTAGTTTTATTTAATGTGTATGGTGTTTTGCTTGCTTGTGTATCTGTGCACTGCTTGTAAGCCTGGTGCCCACAGAGGCCAAAAGAAGGTATCAGATTCTTAGAACTAGAATTACAAACAGTTGTGAGCTGCCATGTGGATACTGGGACTTGAACCCAGGTCCTCTACAGGAACAGCCAGTGCTCTTAACCACTGAGCCATCTCTCCAGCTTTTCTCTTCTTAATCTGTTTAGACTGGTGCATTTGCAGTAATTAGTCTGCTAGCTCTCTGTCTAGCGCCCCCTACAGTATGGGGTGGGGAACACATGGAGATGAAGTCTGTGATGAGACAGTTGAGAGAAAACATAATTTCTTTCTTGTCTTTACTTTGTGTGTGTATGCGTGTGCACATTGAACACGCATTGGAGTGCATGCCTGTGCATATGCACAGAGGCCAGAAAATTTGGGTGGGTGTCCTGCTCTGTCACTCTCTTTCTTGAGACAAGGTCTCTCACTACACTTGCATCTAGGCTGGTGGCCAGCCAGCCTCAGGCATTCTTCAGTTTTTGCCTCCATACAGTGCTGGGGCATGCCGGATGTCATGTGGAAGGGGTGAATGGCTTGCTAAATAGTTAGCAGATTGAGAGACAGGCATAGCTGTGGCCAGCGAAGGCATTTTTTTTTTTCTGGAATCTATGTAAGCTGCCTGCCTTGTAACTATCAACCATATGCAACCTCTATACAAGAGAATCATTTGCGAAGAGTCTCGGGGAGGACTCATCTAGATTAAGTTGGCCGGTGGGCGTGTCTGGGGGGATTAATTGTTAATTGATGTGGGAAGACGCAGCCTGCTGTGGGTGGCACCAGGGCATGGGCTGGACCCTGAGCTATAGGAGACTGGAGAGAGCCAGCTCAGCATAGCTAGCAGGCAGGTAGCCTGAGCACATTCGTTTCTGTGTGCTCTTGACTGTGGACACGTCCAGCTGCTGGAGTCTCACCTTGACTTTACTGAGTGATGGACCTTGACCTGGAGCAATGATCCCAAACAAATCCCTTTCCTCTCTTACTTTGTTTTTGGTCAGGGTGCTTTGTGATGGCAACAGAAAGGAAATTAGAAGTGATCTCTAAGGATGAGTGTGTCTTTGGGGAGGAAGGAGGAAAGAAAGGAAGTTGTTTGAGGAAGAATCTCAGGATGGAAGAATATAATCACCCGGGAAGCAGCCCTAGGGATGCCAAAGTCCAAGTCCCCTGGAATTCCAAATGCTTCCTTGGAAAGAATTCTTTGGCGTAATCGAGTTAAGAATCTTGAAATGTGAGATTGTCTTGGATGGTCTGGGTGGTCCAAATCCAAATCCAATGCAAATGTTCAGATAAGAGGGAGGTGGGCTGATAGGAATGTAAACAGTGGCAGGCACTGTGGAAATCGATATGGAAGGTCTTCCACAAATGAAGGACAGCAGCTGGGGGGATGGCTCAGTGGTTAAGAACACATACAGTTCTTCCGGAAGACCCAACTTTGATTCCCAGGGCCCACGTGAGGTAGCTCGAAGCTGCCTGTCATTCCAGCTCAAGCTGATCAAGTGCTCCCTTGGGCCTCCTACGGCACTTGTGTGCACATATTCCTCCCACCCCACATATTCATAATTTATGATCTAGCATTAGTACTCCTGGTATCTGCCCAAAGGAATGAAAATTGAAGTCTGTGGACCCCTAGTCACAATAGCTTGAATAGTGACCCAGTCTCTATGTGCATCTGTCAATGATAAAGGAAATATAGTACATAGATATGATAGAGTGTTACACTACCTTAACGAAGACTTGAGTTATGTATTTGGAGGGAGCTGAAGGTTGAGTAAATTATGGGGACTGGGAGAGACAAATATCATAGACTCAGGTACTCACATTGAGCAGCCAGCAAGCACTCTTAACCACTGAGCCTACTCGGCAGCCTCCCTACGCTGGATTTATTGGGGCAACTCCAAGCTGCTGCAGACCCATCCTTCTTTTGATACACGGGATGGACCTCTCTTCTTTAAACTCTGATCTCAAATTTCTCATGCCTTGCAAGGGGGGCGCGGGGAGACATGGTGGGAAATGTTCACTCGACCTAGGACTGCCAGCTTTGGGGGCTCCGGGGCTGTGGGGGTGGGGAGAGTAGGTATAACCCAGAGTAAAGAGTGGGAGACTTCCTGCCATTTGAAATGGAGCCTAGCCATAGCGGAGTCGAGTTCTTTTCCAGACCCGGGAGAAAGTGATTAAAGTCGTTTCAACCCTCTGTGACATTCGTATGGAGCTGGGGCTGTTTATAGTCATAAAACAACTGCAGATTAGAAGGATGAAATAGAAACAGTGGGATTCTCACCTCCTGTCCTCTGAGGTTATTAAACACTGCGTGTCGCCAGCAGCAGCGGGGGGACTCTCACACACTTTCCCCCCTGACCCTGTCATTTTTGCAAAACTCAGACAGCCGCTCCCTCCACCGAGGCAATTTTCTGCTGGGATCCCCACCCGACCGTCCCTGCTGCAGTGTGTGCGGATATTTAGGGCCATCTGTGTCTTGTTTTCCTTTTTTCTTTCCCATCTCTCTCTTCCTCCTTTCTTTCCCTCTCTTTGCACATTTTATTTTATAATTATTTGTGTGTGTGTGTGTGTGTGTGTGATCATGTATGTGGGGGGGCACACATTTAGAGGTCAGAGATTGACTTCGGGGTTCTTCCTCCATCATTTCTCAGTGTGGCCTCTACTTTGCTAGGTCGCCTAGGCTATCCTTGAATATCTGATCCTTCTGCCTCCACCCTTCCTTCTGAGGGCTGGGATTACTACTGGGCATGCCCAGTTTATTCAGTGATGGGGATGGAACCCTGTGGCTCCCTGTATCAACTGAGCCGCATTGCCACACCCTTTCTTTCTTAAATTGTTTTTATCACGTGTCCAATCCCAGCAACAAGAAAAGCAGCGAGCCTCCTCCTGATATAGCGAGACACTACCTGTTAGTCACCCGTGGTTTGAGTGCAATGCGGCGGTCACGTGACTGGTGGACTTTCTCTGCTTTTTCCTTGCAGAAATCCGAGAAGCCTTTCGTGTTCTGGACAGAGATGGGAATGGCTTCATCTCCAAGCAGGAGCTGGGTATGGCCATGCGCTCTTTGGGGTATATGCCGAGTGAAGTGGAGCTGGCTATCATCATGCAGCGTCTGGACATGGACGGTGAGACCTACTTAGTACCGCCAAGCTGCGCCTCCCACCTCATTCCCTGGGCTTGGGATGTGTACAATCCCGGGCTCAGTTTACATGTTAGGAGTGGAAACTTGAACTTGATCTGGGTTTGTCCAGCAGGGCCGTGTGAGCAGGGATGGTTTGGGACAGTTACAGGAATAGATGAAGCTGCTTTGGTTGGTGGAATAATTAGACTCCCCTTTCCTTCCCCTCTCATTTTACTTATTTTCCCATTTTCAAGGGTGGAGAACTCAGTGGTTAGGAACACATGCTCTTCCACAAAGGTTCTGTTTTCAGCACCCATGTTGGATGGCTCCCCCACCATCTTTCACCCTGCTCTAGGACTTGACATCTCCGACCTCTGTCAGAAGCTACACTAATGCACACACACACACACACACACACACACACACACACACACACACACACATGCATACACATGCACGTATGCATGGACACACACAGAGACCTATAAATAATATAAATTTTACCTTTCCATTTCCACGCATGTGGTGTGCATGTATGTGTGTGCTTGTTTGCATGTGTGTCTGTGCATGTATGTGGAGTCTTCAGGATGATGTTTGGAATCATCTTTGATTGTTCTTCCACCTTGTTCACTGAGGCAGGGTCTCTGAATCAAACCTAGAGCTCCTAACATACCTAGTCTAGCTAGCCACATGCCATGGGAATCCCATCTTCACCTTCTGAGTCTAGAATTACAGTCCACAGCACCCATGCATATTTTATGTGGGTCCCGGGGATTCAAACTCTGGTGCTCATGCTTGGGGGGGCAAACACTTAACCACTGACCCACCTCTCTGGTCCCCTACCTCCTGTTTTAAAGGCAGCTTGTGTGTTTGCACATATGTATACATGGGTTTGCACATGTGGGTGTATGAGCACATTTGAGCATGTATGTGTAGAGGTCGGAGGTCAATCTTGAATGTCACTCTTTAGGCACCACCCACCTTAGTTTTTGAGACAGGGTCTTTCATTAGGACTCAGGATTCATGACTGGGGACCATTCCACATGGGATCCTCCTGTCTCCACTCCTCCAGTGTTGGGATTACAAAAATGTGCTTCTATGCCTATGGCTTTACTTTTTTTAAACCTTCATTCTGGTGACCTGTACTTTATTGACTGAGCTGTCCTCCTGGTCCCCAAAACATGGCTGCACCCTAGGAGCTTAAGCTGTCACCACTACCTAAAAGGCAGCAAAGCTGGTAGGAGATTCTCCTTTCTTCTAGAGTCGTTATTACTTGTATAGTGTTGGGGAAGTGCCTTGTAAATCTTGTTGAGTTTCAAGAACTTCCTGAGACTTGTAAGTTTCATTTATTTTCTGGGTCTTAAGAGCCTCCCTCCAGAAAGGAGTGTTTGAGTTAGGAAGAAACAGCACAATAAGCCAGATAAAAAGACAACTGTCACAGCTGGGCCTGTTGGTACAGGTTTGTCATTCCAGCTATTTGGGGATTGAGGGAAGGTGACTGCAGAGTCACAGTTTTCTTTGTGGAAGAGTAAGCTGTCCAGCTGTCTTTGAATGAGAAATGATCCGTATAGGCTCATGTATTTGAATACTTGGTTCCCAGTAGGTGGTGCTGTTTGGGGAGGTTATAGCACCTTTAGGAGGTCAGAGCCTTGCTGGAAGATTTATATCACTTGGAATTTGCTTTGAAAGCTTATAGCTCTGCCCCATTTCCAGTTCGCTCTGCTTCCTGTTTGTGGTTCAAGATACAATCAGTCAGCTTCCTGCTCCCGTACTGTCCGTCTGCTTCCATGTCTTCCTACCATGATGGGCTCTTATCCCTTAGAACCATAAGCCCAAGCAAACTCTTTCAAAGGTCACCTTTGTTTACAGTGTCTCATCACAGCCAAAGGCAAGTTACTAAAACACCTGCCTTCACGTTCCTGCTTTGAGCTCCCTCCCCGACTTTCCTCCACGACAGACTGTGACCTGATAGTGTAAGGTGAACAAGCCATTTCCTCCCCTAAACTGCCTTTGATCAGAGTGGTTTATTTTTGTGTTTAATCACAGCAACATAAAGAAAACCAGAGCAATCCGGTAGGGGGACTGCTTGCATGGTCTCTATGCCAGTTTTAAGTTTGGCTTTCTCCTGTTCCCCTGAATGATGTGTTAGGAGGACAGTGACAATGGAGGTCACATGGTGAATGAACGAAGTACAGCTGTGGATGTCTAAAACGTCTCTCTGGATGGTGATTTGCTGGGTCTCTGCAGGCCCGATGCGATGATGTTTTCTGTTGTAGCAATAGTTCTGAAATGCTGGGGCCAAGAGCCTGCAGCAAAACCTCTCTTCCATTTCTCCTATCCTCTTTCCAGAGGGCCCGCCGCCGCCCCGGAAGGACAGTTTCCTACTTCATCCTTTGTTGTTTTATTTTAATTTGTCTTTTTTTTTTTTTCTGGAGACAGGGTCTTGTCACGTTGTATCCCTGGGTAGCCTCAAGTTCATGGTGATCCCTTAGACCTCAGCCTCTGGAGTCATGGGGCTACAGATGCTACACCAAGAAACCTGCCTTACTAAAAAGTTATTGAATACCAGTGTTTCTATATCTAAGAAGGTATTGTTGTCTTTTAGTTTAAAAATTATTGGGGCTAGAGCGATGGCTCAGCAGTTAAGAATGCTTGCTGCTCTTGCAAAGGACCTGAGTTTGGTTCCCAACATCCACACTGGGCAGCCTATAACCACCCGTAACTCATGTGCACATATCTCCATACAGACACAAACACACAAAGTATTAAAAAAATACTTTGGGGGGGGGTCTTTTTTTTTTTTGACAGAATCTTGCTCTAAGCACCAGCTAGTCTTGAACTTAGGGCGATTCTGCTGCTTTAGCCCCTTAAGTGCCAGAATTCTCGGGATACACCAATAACACCAACATACTCTGCCGGGGTAAACATTTTAACCAATACCTCTGTTTGTGAAATTAAGGTAGTTTTATTGGTTTTTAATTGTTTTTTAAATTTTGTTTTGAGACAAGGTCTTTGTCCTAGTATTGTGAAAGTTACTATTTGGAAAGGTGTGTGTGTGTGTCTGTCTGTCTGTCTATCTTACTGATATAAATACCTGACAAAAGCAACTGAAGGAATGAATTTATTTTAATTTTGGCTCACAGTCCACCCTGTTGGGGAAGGCGTGGAGAAAGAAGTGTGAGGCAGCTGGTCACATGGCATCCACAGTCAGGGAGCAGAGAGAGATGAATGCTGGCTGGCACTCAGCTCACTTTCTCCTTTTTACTCAATCCAGGACCCCCACTCTGTGGGGTTGGGGCCACCTACATTTAGGATATGTCTTTCTGCCTCGGTTAACCGAATCTAGAAGCTCCCTCTTAGACACGCTCAGCAGTGTGTCTCCTAGATGACTCTAGATCCTGTGAATTTGACAACCAAGACGAACCATCACACCTAATGGGCCAATGTTGCATTAACTGCTCCATTCCAGCCCACAGAGCATTTTCATGATACTGAAGATCCTGTCTGATTGCATAAGGGTTGGAGCCCCGTAGGACCCTGTGTGGGGACATTCTCCAGGGAGCTCAGGAAGACATGTTCAGCCATTTGCTCCATCTTCTGTATAAGAGATTCTTGACTCTTACCAGTTTACTAGCCATTTGTCACAATCCTATGAATTTTTTTCTGGCAGAACATTGGAGCAAGTGTTTAGAGTGTTTCTATCCATTTATTGAACCAGAGACTTATCTAACCAGGCATTTCACAGAGGCCGACCAGGTAAAAATACTTTTGATTTGATTTCATTTCATTGAATTTTGGGCTCTGGTACTTCTGGAGACAGAGTTCTCTTCTGAACCTTAGGCTCTCCTGGAACTTACTCTGTAGCCCAGGCTCTTCTAGAACTTGCAGGCTTCCTGCATTGGCTTCCTGCATTACCCTCCTGAATGTGTACCATCATGCCTAGCCTATATTGATTTACTTTTAAAGGCTTATTCCATTTTTTTTTTTTTTTTTGGTTTTTCGAGACAGGGTTTCTCTGTGTAGCTTTGCGCCTTTCCTGGAACTCACTTGGTAGCCCAGGCTGGCCTCGAACTCACAGAGATCCGCCTGGCTCTGCCTCCCGAGTGCTGGGATTAAAGGCGTGCGCCACCACCGCCCGGCCCTTATTTCATTTTTATTTATGTGTGTATGAGTGGGTGTGTTGGTGCCCATGGAGTCAAAAGAGGGTATCCAATCCACTAGGGGTGGAATTACAGGTGGGTGCTGGAAACTGAACCCCAGGTTCCTCAAGAGCAACACATCCTCTTAACCACCAAGTCATCTCTCTAGCCCCTTACTTATTTTGCTATTACATTAATAGAGTATCTTATTTATTTTCTGACAGTGTCTTACATACAAACAAGACATCTTGATCATAGGTGCTCCACCTTGTCCCTCCCATTCCCCCAGCTAGCCTCTAACATGTCACCCTCCTTCCTTCATGTCCCCTCTCTTTGTCCCCCAGAGTCTAATCAGTGCTGCCCATAGGATTGTTAGCTAATGTTGTTGGCTGTATCTTGTGCAAGTAACTACATTAATTTATTTTTTTAAGGCACAAGCTTCCTTAAAAATTATTTTTTTTTGCTGGAAAAATGTACTGCTAATTACATGAGAATAATGACTAAATGTGAAAGGGGTAAAGTTTTTAAAAAAATGCCCAGTTGGAGGGGGAAATGTGTGTCTTTAGGCATTTTATTACTAAAGCTGGGACAGGAAGTTTCTGGGCTGCCAAGTTCTGGAGATGGATGGATTGACTGTTCTCTTAATGAGGCCCTTTGAGCCAATCTGCTTTTAAGAAATTAGAATGTAGTTTTATATTTGTCCCTCCTCACTTCTAGACCTGAGTGTCTGCCACAGTAATTCGGTCCCAGGTTGACTCTGACTTTGTTCCTCTTTGAGGTGGAGCATGTGGGACGGCAGATATTTTTATGGGGGTGATGCCAAAAGATACATAAGTAAAATAAAATAGAAAGGGCCGGGGAGATA